GGCGGGGTCAGTGTCGCCATGGCAACCGCGCGGCGCTCCCTGCGCGCGGCCGCAGACCGGGCCTGGTGTGGTGTCCGCGGCACCGAGCGCCGTGCGCGGCCCCGAGCGCAGCCCTGCACACGGAGGAGGAAGGCGAGAGCACTGTTTGGGTCTGGGACGAACCTCTGGGAAGCGGCGGGACCAGATGGTGTTTCCAAGTGCTGCACGCAATCTYCACAAAGCCAAACTGAACGCTGCACCACAAACACGCTGTTGGAGTCGGGCACGCTGAGATGCTCCTTCGCTTCTCCTCCAAATTTGTTGGTCCCGAGCCAGGTCCTGGTGAAGGTGCTGTCTGGCACCAGGTTACAAACACTGAGGACACAGTGCTGTCCCAGCCTGGGTTTGCCAAGGACACGCAGCTGACAGATTTAAGAAGTGCACAGAACTTCTGAGCCTGTCTTTGCAYCTCACCAGTCAACAGCTAGTCGAGAAGGTAAAATAACACCATTTTAATACCTTGTACCTGATTTAAAGATTGGCATGTAATGTATCCTTACCATAGAAACAGAATGATGAAAGTATGTTTGCTCTGCTGAAATAAACATTATCCTCAGCAAAYGAACTTCACAGAATCTTCCTTCTTTTACCAAAGTTTATGCAGGAATTAGCATTGACCCGAGCAGGGTAACACTGCAGTAGCCCAGTGTACATATGACATGCTGGAGACAAGGCCCAATTCACAGGACAGCATTTGCCTGCACCTTCACRCTGCTCATTCTGTGCAAAGGTCCTKTRTTATTCCAGAGCTTTCTCATGCTTAGAACCATAATCCACCTAAACKCTGGTCCTGGGCTGGCTTAAAAATAGTACATAAACCACCAAACATTCACAGGTAAAACTTCAGCAAAAGCAAATATAATTTCACATGTACTGAAGGAATTTTTCAGACTGTTAGTTAAAAAGGCAATTTGCCACATAAAATTCAGTAGCTGTAAGTGTAAGCTAACAAGAGATATTCAGGAATGCTTGTTTCTCCTGGGAACTGAGAACCARTTATTGCAATGCTCAATAAATCAGTTCTATGATAATTTCACAAACTTACCAGAGCAGCCAGTTTGGAACCAACAATACCTACAGAAGGTGGTTATACTCTTACGCTATTAGGCTTTTTTTTCTTTTTGTTTTATCACCAAGCAGCAACACTTGGAGGTCAGGTGCTGTATAAAATCTCCTTTGGTTATTGCAATAGGGGAAGTGCTGCTCTCCGTGAGGTTCTGGCAACAGGAACTCAGGCAATTCCAAGTGTATCCAGGGAGCTGCTGTAAGGCTGGGGGTTGTGTCAGCTGCAGCGAGTCAATAATGAGCACACACAGGACTGTACAGGAAGGCTGGACACAACAGGTCAGTTTTTTATTAACCAAAGTGAAGCTGAACCCCAGAGTGGTTTAACTTGTTAAAACCATATGTTTATATGGCAGGTATTTTTCTTTCATGTTCAATACTACAGTGCAAGAACCAAACTTTGCAGCTGTTCATCCTTTGAGAATCAAGTAGTAAAAGTAAAATGAATTAAAGTAAGGGTCCCTCAATGAATCAATTAAAAAAACATTTAACTCAAAAGAACAGACCGATTTTTTAAGAACTGTCTTATTAAATTCTCCCAAGTGAAAGACCTTTAAAAGCACTTGGAGCCTTGAGGTAGCAACTTTATGCAGAATTTAATTCCCCTCCTGCCCCACAGAGGAAAATTAGTAGCGCATTATTAGCTCCAGTCAGCTAAGCTGCGTTGAGTGTCTCCTGTGAGGTGACTTTCTCTTGCCTCTTGAAATAGCAGTGTAGTGCTGTGGAGTGCCAGGAGGAAATCCACAGGGAAGGCCTCTTGAAATAAAATTTAYGGTTTGAAAAAAGTTAAAATGCTCAGCAACGACCGTAACAACAAAAATTATCTGAAGTGAAAAAACCCAACATGTTTGTATTTTGGCAAGACTAGTTTACAAATACATGTCAAGAACAAGAGTCTGCTTTCAGCCAACAGAAAAGAAAGAATGGAAGTGACATTCAAAGGGGTTTGGGGATTTTTTTGCCCTCAGTGCAAAATTGCACTTTGTTTTTAAAGTTTTAAGTTTTGCACTTTTGTTTCTAAAAGGAGAGCACTTCTGCCCTTTTTTGTTATTTTATGTTGTCAAACCTGTGCTGTACATGACGAATACCACGTGCCAGGATATTTAACCACTGAAAGCTCCTCTCGCTGACTTCACAACAATCACAAGCAGGGAATCACAAACAGATTTGTCTTCCTCTAAGCCTTGAAGACATGATCCTCTGTGCCCACTTTGCTGCTGAGTTCTTTTATTAAAAACTAAATCTCTCTCTAGTGCCAATTTAAGTCTGCCAGTGGAAGACTTACTGAGCACTGAGTGGTAGCGAAAGACCTGGGCTTATTCTCTGCAACAACTGCAATGAACAGAGTGCAAAGGAATGAGAGGAGATACAGGCATGGGGCAGATGGTCACAGACTGTACTTGCTCCCTGTACTCAGTATCAGCATTCACACACGGCCCAATTTTGCTCACTGCTGGTGCTCTAACCAGATTCCTGGCAATATTGAGTATCTTACTAAAGCTTCTTTCACTAATTTCATGCTCCAAAACTGTTCAAACAGGTTGGYTAAATCAGACCAAACTTATCAGGCACATTGCACATTACAGCTCTTAAACAGATAAGCCTTCTTAGCAGCTCATTCTCTTTCAGCTCAAGGTCATCTGCCTCTCTGCACCAAGGAATGATGCTGCACGGACCCTGGATGCAGGATGGCATTGCCCACTATGCCATTGCTCCAGGGAACCCAGAGAAAAATAACACTTCAAAAGCTTATTCGTGTTCACATGGGATGCCAATCTTTTGATTTCATATTCTCATCTTTTCCTCTGACTTTTAGAAGCCATCAAACCCCGTCTTTCCAGGCAGAAATATCTAAAGAATCTGACATSAGCCTTYCCTGGTTTTTGGTTAAGCTTYGGAACAACTGCCTGTGTTTGYCTGTGCTGAGGTTACAGTCCTGTCCTGCACAAAACCAAAGGCATTAAGAACCAGAATCCATCTGCAAGGCAGCCCAAGCTGCCAGGCTCCCCTGGATAAAGAAGTGAATATTCTGCCTGGGAGCAACAAAGGCCAACTGGTGATTATTCACAGCAAGTTTCTCTTTAGTTCACATGACAGTTTAGGCAGCACAGAAACTCAGGCTGGTTCAGAGACCAGTTAATGTTTGGTTCACAGGACAGTCACGAGCAGGCTTCAGAAACACTCTTTGTCATGGAGCCCAAAGTACCTTAAAGTTATATCTGCTGTCACTGCAAGGAGCTGATGATGTTTTTTTGGTTTTTTTTCCTGTGGTGTTTTTTTTTTGGTTGGTTTGGGATTTTGTTTTAAATTCTGTGATGATTATTTTTATCTTTGGTGTTAAATCTTGGAAGCATGAGTGAAAAGTACCTGCTGCTTCTTTGGCTGTAGTTTATGACAAAGAAACAGCCCAGGAAACCAAGRGAAATTCACTGTTCTAAAATACATGCAGTTAGAACAGCCACTAGACATCACAACCAGGACTTTAATAATATGGAAACACCAAGTTCAGTGGTGTCCATTACAAATCATTTGCATTATATAAAAATATGACTGCAATTACAGTAACTGGACAACAGCCATTCAGATTTATCAACTTTCCATCTTASTCATATTGCAGGAAATGGGAGGAGCTCATCCATTTAGGGGAAAAAAAGTGTCCAGGAATCAAACTTAAGAGTTGCTGCTAAGCTTCTCGTGCCTTAGAGAAATGTGCACTGTGATAACTAAAAGCAGGAATTCAAGATTAGCATCCTTCCATTCTTGCTCACATGGCCATGAATAAAAAGAGCAGGTTCTGTTACACTAGTATTCACAATAAAAATTTTATAACCCCATAAAACACCAGTATGTTTTGCACGAGCTGTGGAAGAATGCAAATTCAAAGGGTCACTAGATTTATTACCTCCAAATTCATGTCTTAATATATATATATATATTCTGTTTGTACACCATAAAAATGTCCTTCTTATGGTCTGATTCTTATTTAGATAATACTCTGATAAAATCTCAGCCATATGCCAATTAAGGTCCTTAAAGCTATAGAAACAGAATCTACCTAATAAATGCTGCAAATTTAACAGGTATTTTAGATAAACATCATTAGCTTAGTTATCACCTAAACCAAAAAGACTCCTCAAACACACCAACTGCGTAGTTAGCAAAGACATTTGCTTTACAAAGTCAAATGTTGCTAACTTTTGAAAAGTTTAGCAAATCAACATGGTATTTGGAAGCATCCAAGTGTCTAATGAAGTTAAAATACTGTGAAATGTTAGGACTGGGGGAAGCTCCTGTAAACAAGTACAGAAGTAGTCTTCATTTAAATTACAAAACATTCACCTCCTTAAAAAGCTTTAAAACTGACCCAGTCAACAACTGCGCCTTGGGAAATGTAGCAGTATAAAGGATTTCTGTAAGCAAGAGAAGGTCATATATTGTGATCTCACCACATAAAATGTACTCAGTGTCAAGAACAAGGAGCAAATTTGGGGAGATTACAATTATGACACCCYCAGGCCATTTGATCTGAACCACTGCACTTTGTTGGACAGCATAGAGTAAACCAATTTTCTTTGCTGCTCAAAAACACTTAAAATAYATTTTCTGCATCTGGTTGCTAAGCAGACTCTCCCATGTTCCCAGCTCGGTTTACTTGGTTTAAARAGCTCTCTATGTTACCTGCTGCTTTCAGCAGGTGAACCAAAACTYCAGTGCCATCTTATTCATTGGCTCCATTGATACTTTAACTTCAAACCCAGATGCTACAATTAAAAGCAAATTTGACATTGTGTAAGGAAAGCATCAGATGAAGGTAATCAGCCCATAAAAGGCTTGTATTCCACAGGCTGCCTCTGCAGAACAGGCAGCTTCCCACTACAGAATCTGACGGGACAATTTATCCCAACAGTAACACCCAGAAGGAAGGAGGTTCTATATCTTGCACACTTTGGGTTTCGTATCAGGCACTTGAACTGTTGGACAGACGCCATTCTGAACCAAGTAAGTGAACATAGGGTTAGAATCATCTTTAATCTAGGTCTAATAATGAAGTATCAGCAGCAAAGTGGAGGCAGGGAGTGAGCAATCCATCTGTGCTGAGACTTGTTTATGGTTTCTAAAATGCCCAAGAAAACAGCAGCAGTTACTGTTCCATAGTGTCCGTTGTCCTTGTGAGTTGTGTTGCTGATAGGAGGCTTTTCTGTGTCTTGAACTAAGAAGGCATTGAGGTACCCTGTGCCTAATTCCCTGGATCCATCAGGTCCATGCTAGAGCCAAACATTGCCACCAGTTGCTCCTCGTAATGTGTTATATTCCTCTTCATAATGTCCATGCAGGGTCCAAGCAACCTCTCAAATGCTTGCACATCCATGACTGTAATGGAACAGAGGTGAAAACAAGATTGTTTGTCAGAAAGGATACAAACTACARATCTGGTTTTTGAACTCAGAACACAGACCTCCAGTTCAACCCACTCAGGGCTGAGGCTTCAACAGAAGCCACAGAAACAGAAATCATGTTTCTGATTTCCTTCTGTCCTGTTRGTGAAATAAGATTAATGAAATATAAACTTGATCTCAAGGATAAATAAAGAAGCCAAATATACCCCCTTGTGTGGCACTGAAAGATGACCTGAAGGCTGTGTGTGACAACTTGTAGACAAGAAGCTGATGCCAGAGAGTACAGGCCACACATGCCAAAAATAGAGAATATGCCATGAGGAATCATCAGTGCTTCTCCAACTTCCACGTGGAGCTCCACTCCAGCCCATGCTCCTGGCTTCTGGAATCTGACTGCCAGTTACTAAAAGATTGCTGGGTTTTGAATGGCTGCTCACTCAGACACGGTCCATGAGACAAGCAAAGAACAGAAAAGGATGATGGGAAACACAGACCATCTGCTTACCTAAACATTTGACCTCCCCGACAGCATAGGCAGAGGCTGCTCTGGGTTTGTTGGTAACAAGTGCAAGCTCTCCAAAATACTGCCCTCTGTGACACCGGGCAATCTCCACTTCTTGATTAGCTTCTTTACTCGTCATAGTCTGTCAAACAAGGCAATTTCATTATTTGCACATAGTTCTGTCCTGGACAAAGCCACAGTTAAACCCAGATATTGTACACATGTGCAACAGCTCCTTGGTTTCGGACCTTTAACATAGCAACTCCCAAATCATGGTGGAACACCTCAATACTATGTTCAGCTGGAAATTTGGTAAGAAAAACGTGTGCCAGCCCACAGGTTTTGAGACTAGCAGGTATTTACTGCTACAGCTTTGGGAATGGCTGTTACATAGCCTAACACAGGCTTTATCATGCACTACATGCTGTTCCCCTGGCTGTACAGAAATCTGTTCAAATGCCAATGTCTAATATGTCACTAGAGATAACAGACCCCACATTTTGTAACGTGCAGTCTTCTGTCATTTCCACCCCTACGACCAGGAGGAGTGTATCACGTTAGTTTGCAGAGCAGCAGATAGAAGCAAAAGACCTTTGCACTTTATTAAAATAACCTCTGGCTGCATCAGAACAGGTATGAGAGTTTACTGCTTACATCACATGAATAATGATGATCAACGTCATAAAATACATTAAAATAACTCAGGGTGGGCTTTCTCACATGTCTTGTATTAATCAGTCAAATCAGGGATTGATTAATACAAAGCCTAATCACTCAATTTGAACTCACCTTGCTTTTAATCAAGATTTTTACTTCTCCGGATTCTACAATGTAAAAACAGTCTGCTTTGTCACCCTGTGAAGAAGAAAAGGTAAAATAAAATCTTTTTTACTTGACTGTGGAAGGATGTATAAATGGTATTAATGCATTCACTTTGAACTACGCCTGCAAATCAGCTAGAATTCACAAACATTCAGATTCTTAACATTAAAAGGTGGCTGGTTGGGCAATACACCAGAGGAGCCCACAGGGAAGGAGCTAATAGTGCACATCATTCAGTAAGAGGGCAGGAGGAAAGGAAAACACAAAGGAGATGGATGACATATAGCAAAATCACTTAATGCAAATCTTCTGATCTTGATGGAAGTAGGCAATAGTTAGTGAAACTAAACAGCACCTA